TGGGTAGACATGTTTTTTGAAAGTTTGTAAACACCACGGCCCCACGGGGGGTGCCAAATTGTTTTAGTCAAAAATGGATCAAGTATTATTCAACCAAATTGTATATGAGAGGCTGTGATGTTTAAGCTAATGCAAATATCGAATAATGATCAAAGTGAGACAAGTGAGTTACAAGGAAAGCCTTTGATCCTTTTTAGGATCTCGGACATAAAACATTGGAAGGTGATAATGATCATCTGTCTTGGTGTTTTTATTAATTTCAATGAGAAGTTATAGATATGATGAAGATAATACGAGTACAAATGAGGTAATAGAGTTAATTGTGTGTGTAGTGTGTGTTACAAGTGTGATTATAGTCTAGACTAAATAACAAGAAGTCAGATATTCTTGGGATCCTCTTGCATGAGCATATACACGTTGTCTGATTTGGTATTCCCGATTCTTAAGTCGGTTAAAATGATTCTTCGATGAGAATAAGTCTCAAATTGACAATTTTACACATATGAGAAAAAAAATAAGAATATGATCGTTAAGATGTGTTAGGAAATAAAAATAACAATGATCATGATCCTAAGAAAGGTCTGAGATCCTGAACACCCGGGATCCTGAATTAGGTTGATGATATTGGCCCTAATATATATATATATATATATATATATATATATATATATATATATATATATATACACACACACGCACACATACTAGTGACTAGTCAAGAACCCGCGTAATGTACAGACGGTAAATAGTTCGTTTCCGCGAATACTTTTCAGACGGTGATTCGTTCTTTTTGAAGATATGGTTTGTTTCCATCGTAATTTAATTATATATTCTCCATCCACAATACCTTATGAATCACTTCTATTGTCGCATTTTCAAGATTAGAGGACTCAACTTGAAAAGAACATGAAATTACTCTTCAAATTGGGTGGAGTCGACTTGAAAATGAAAATGACATGAGGTTTTAGTGGATGATTGTGTAATCATGAGTAGTGTTTAGCCCAATATATGTGGGAGATATCATGTTCAAATTAAAGTGGCCGTCTTTATTTATGTTTTATTTTGAGGTAGTAACGTAACATATCATGGCATGCTCAATCAACTTGCATTGGGTTTTCGACATCCAAGTTTTGTCGGTAATCAGTCAAAAAAGTTTTTTTTTCTTGGCTCGGAAACCCCATTTCTTACCAATTGGTTATATTGCTAAAAACAAATTGTTTTCTTCATATATATAGATATATATATATATATATATATATATATATATATATATATATATATATATAGAGGTTCATTTGAGACGGGTCTAATTTTGTGAGACCGAGAGACTACTTATTTCTAGTAAAATATTCTAATATTATGTTATTCAAAAAAAATATAATATATGTAATATTCTGATATTTTAAAACAATATTTTTAACAAATTTTATATTGAAATATTCTAAAAGCATATGATGTTAGAAAATCATACATATTATATTTTTACGATTACTAGAATATTAGAATATTTCACTTGAAAAAATTGGTCTCACGGTCTCAAAAAATTATGTTCATCTCAAATAAACTTATATATATATATATATATATATATATATATATATAGGGTTAGGATTAAATGTGAATCCTAAATATTGTGTGAGTGTATGACTTAATATGGACCGTTGGATTAGAAACTCTAAAGGCGAAGAATGGGGTTCAGTTAAGTAATTTGTCGTATATTATTTAATCCACAGACTGATAAAATCTTTATAAGGGAAATAATTTAATTTTGTAGGAATTTAAATTATAAATCGCCAATTAATCTGCGTATGCTTCTATTTTTTTAAATCTACTATCTTTTATTCAAAAATTTTAGGAAGGCGTGGTGATGATCTGCTCATGTGAAGATACGATTAACCAGCCAAGAATCATGATATCAGTACAAATAGAAGAATCATTCACCACATTTTTTTTCATTTATTCTTGAAGAATGGAACCATATAAGTAATATAATTCATTAAGGTTTTCGTTATTTTTGAGTGATTCGTGTATTTGTTGACTAAATTTGAAGAATTTGGATCGTTGTTGTCATTAATTTTGATTTAATAGATTAAGGTTTTCGTAGTTCATATATTTTTGTTACTACCATGTATTCTTGAAGAATGTAAACCCATTCCTGAAGAATTTGATTTTTTTGTTTTGAAAATTATGTGATGTTTTGTTAGCAATCGGTTCACATACACAATCAAATTACTTTGTTTAATGACAGAAGTAACATTTTTTTAAATGTTGTGTTGTTTGGGTTAATATGTTTGTATAATTTATTTATTTATTTATTTATATTTTTTTTAAGAACAAGTTTTGTAAAAGATAAAATGACTGTACAAGATATATTCTTCAAAAATATGCACAAATAATTTGTTGTAAGTAGTTTTTCATGTTCTTTAAGAATTATGAATATGTCAAAGTAATTTTATGATAAAAGTATGAATGAATGAGAAGACTCACCATATATTCTTAAAAAATTTGACTATTTATGTACATCTTTTTTCACTGTGAATGTTGAATGTCTAAAGATTTTTTTGTTCATAATTGCATATGAAAAAGGAAAATCATATATAGAATACATATTATTTAAGAATATTTGTGCTTACATTGCTAAAAGTAATTTTCTTCACATTGTTTACACATTATGCAGATGTCACACTTATGCTTTGGTAAAAGTAAGGAAAAAATGAGAAGAAACATCTTATATTCTTAAAGAATATAATTATTAGTTTAATCCACATATACAATCAGAATTCACATTTTTTATCGGTTAAAGAATGAATTTTTTTTAATTTACTTATTCTTAAAGAATGTATACGTTTGTCATATATGTTTTTTTTTCAAATCATAAGTTGACTATGTTAAGGTTTTTATCCACATATTCTTACAAATTGTGGATGCATTTGGTATATGCTTAAAGAATGGTAGTGTTTATTTCATCCATGCATTGCACATAATATATGCCAAAATGTAATGAACAAAAATAACATTCTTTAAGACTAAAGACAATCAAGAAAAAAAAAGCAATGATAGCCCAACTCTTTTATATTTCTCAAGTTGCAGGTCTATATAAAAGAAAAGTAAGAACATGTAGAGCTAGAGGTAGAAGACGATGCATAATGGTTGGATAAAAAAACATGATGATCAAAGGTCGTAGGGAATAAAGAGGGGACAATTAAAATAATGAGTGATATGGTTTTTTTTTCACATATGAATTAAAAAACACACACACACACAAGAACAGGGAGAGTCAAAGGAAGAAGGCAATGAAAAGTAGTTGGGTAAAAAAATCTAAAGAACTAAGGTATAAGGCAATAAAGGGGAACGATTAAACTGATACATGATATGAATAATTGCCATATATATAGGAATGAAATATTAGGTTATTAAATTAATATTATAAAATGTTCCTAATTTACCTCTAAATGGTGATTGGTCCATAATTGGTTATACATTCACACAATAACTAAGATTTATACATGATCTCTCTCTCTCTCTCTCTCTCTCTCTCTCTCTCTCTCTCTCTCTATATATATATATATATATATATATATATATATATATATATATATATATATATAATATATAATATATATATATACAAATCATAAAATCGAGCATAGTAGTATATTGGAGAGAAAAAAATTGGAAAAAAAAAATTGATCATTAAAATTAAATCATGGATCATTTCGTAGATCATTTTTATGATCCATGATTCAATTTTAATGATCCAAAAAAACAATTTCCAATATTTTTTCTCTCCAATATAGTACTATGCTCGATTTTATGATTTGTATTTTTTTTTTCAATTTTTTTAAGGTGTCCTCACTAGAACCAGACCCTATATATATATATAATATATATATATATTATATATATATATATATATATATATATCTATAGTATTTATTCATATATTTATTTAATAATATTAATAATAAAGAATTTAAAAAATAATATACTTATTTACATTTTTAATAATAATAATAATATTAATAATAATAAAGTTTTTTTTGGCAGAAAACTCAATATTTTAGACAGTTTACAAAATAGTATCAAATTAATTTATTACCGGTTCTTGGAATTTTTTGTTAAAAAATTAATTTGAGACAAAAAAACATAAACTAAACCAAAATTTTTACACTTTACTGAAAATTTCCCTATTAAAAATTACATATTCGAGCATTTGTAGGTTACAATGGTCTCAATAAACTTTTATCAAAAAACAAGTTACTCTTTTAACACAAATTAAAACCAAAATTTCCCTATTAAAAATTACATATTCGAGCATTTGTAGGTTACAATGGTGTCAATAAACTTTTATTAAAAAACAAGTTACTTTTTTAACACAAATTAAAACCAGGTGGTAAAAGCGAAAAATATGACAAAATATAATGCTTTTATCTTATTAACCCTTGCCGAAAATAAAAATTAACATAAAATCACTTGTTTTTCCTATGTCTAACCACCGATCAACATAATAACCATGGTTGTCAAAATCACGATCCTGATCATAGTATAGTACGATCCTAGATATGAAAAACGAGCCGGATCATAAATAGATCGTATTTGAGGTAGAATTGTAAAAATCGTAGGATAAGGATCCGATCCTACCTTCCCTCTTTTTTTTTTTTTTTTTTTGCAAATGAGATTTTGTTTTTATGTCTTTTACCCTTTATCAATTTACCGTTTTTTTTTTTATTTTTGCAAATAAAATTTTGTTTTTATGTCTTTTACCCTTTACCAATTTACCGTTTATCATTTTGTATTGTGATTTATAACTAATATTTGGAAATTTTTATAACTTTTGAATGAAAAATCGAATGTTTGAAATATTTTTCATTTTTAAAATTAAAATTAAATTTATGATTTATTTTGTGGGATCTTAGGATCCCGATCCCAATCTTGGAAATCCGAAAACGATTGTACGTAGGATCTCAATCTTAACAACCTTGATACTAACCTTATCCAAATACGTCCAAATCACCTTAACAATTTACATAAATATTAAAAACGGTTTTGATACATTAATATCCTTTTCAATAAATTGATCTAATGAAATGAGTAACAAATCTCAAGTAATCTTACATATGATCTTTGGTAAGATCGCATGTAAGGAAGAAAATCATACATCTTCACATTTTGAGTGATATCCACAACTCTAAGATTTGCCTCTTTTGCCACCTTAAGAAAATAATTAAAAGTGTCAATATTCCGCACCACAGATGCAATATATGCAACAGGTTTTCCTCTTGATGCAACAAAAAACTCATTGTCTTTGTCTCCATGAATGGAGTTTGACTTTTTTGTGGTCAACAGAGCGGAAATCACACGAACTAAATGCGGAATGCATTGCGGATCATATATCACATCTGCCCCCAACCTACACATGCATAAATAGGAGAAAATAAGGGAAAGGGATAAATATGCTCATTAAGATAAGAAGGGCATTTTCGTCTTTTGCACATACTTTTTGAGTTAGTACACAATGAAACAAACAGGGCTACAAGTACATATTTGAAGTGCTTACACTATATCTGGCTTAAGATTTTGAAGGTCATTCTCAAGTGCAGATTCCCATGGTAGATGTAAGCATTCGACATGGGCATTCATCTGATTTAAGTCTAAGTTGACTTTCAAATTGGCTAAAGTTGACAGGTCACCATCACTTAGAACCACCTGCATTAGCAATATGATATGTTTCAGGGGTCGCTTTGTAATTTTTGAAACTTGCCAAATTTTAAACTTCTTTAAAGATGGGACATAAACATAAATAAACAAAGTTCAGGGGCTAAATTGTAAATTTTGACAGAGGGAGTAGAGACTTGCCTTGGTGGGTTTCACATGTGCCAGACATATGCCAACCAAACCAACACCTGATCCAAGCTGCTCTCATAGATAGACAGAAACAAAAACATCAGATGAAAAAATAAGTTAAAATATTTAAAGAGTCGGTTACATTTTTGGGACCAAAATTGAAAAAATTAGCTATACTTAGGGACCAAAAATGTAACTTTCTCGCGATTAATCTAGGAATTGTATCCAAACATATATCATACCTCAAAACATGACTTCATTGAGAATAATTCTGGACAAGAAAGAATAAACTCTGATAAGAACAAGCTCGAGGGCCATAAGGAACACCTGAAATAAATATTTTAATTGTTACAAATGCACATTGTAATATACATAATGCATATAAAATCCAAAAACCCACAAAAAGTTATAACACTACTAGTAGCAATGATACCTACCCAGTATCTCCTTCAAGCATATTAAGTGAACAATAAAGTGGTGCTACTACTTTCTTTGGATTTTGGCAAATCTGAGCTTCAACATGATCTTCATAAGAAACCAAAAATTACAAATGAAAATGAAAATTATGAAATGATGTATGTATCTCATTGTTGAAATACACTTACCAGGAGGGTAAAGAAATGAGATTTTCCTAACAATCCTTGAGTCTCCCTTGAAATTATAGCCCTTGTAGATAGAACATAGCATATATCAATGAACCTTAAAACCTTTATCTTTATTATTCTTCTTCTGCAACAGAAGTAAGATGAAAAGAAATGATAGCATGTGTGTACCTTTAATGAAGCCATGTAAAATGCTAATTCTTCATAAAGTTCATCAACAACAACAGCACCTTCAGACTCAATTTCAAGAATAAACTTTTTAAGGAAAGACCTTATGTAAGGTGCATGAGCTTTTCTATCCTGCAATGGGGACATTAAAACAAAATCAAGCTTCTTCTGTGGTGGTACTTATAATCCTCTTAAGCAAACAACCAAATGTCAATAGAGTGCTTTGATAATACTAGAGATATTTAATTATTCGCGAGTCATATTATGTGTTTGTTTAAATGTTTGAGAAATGATCGGTGTGTATAAAACCCTAAACCCTATGTTGAATCAAATACTGAAAATCAGAAAATTGTTAATGAAAAACAGTATTACGAAAAGGTACTCACTACTCTGCTAATACAATGTTCCCAAACGAAGTTCTGAACGCTCTCCGTAATTGCACCACCACCACAGTCCCTAGGGTTTCATTTGTTTCACAAAAATCATATCGAACTGAACGATGTTAGAATAAAGAAACGAACAGTGGGGTATTAGGTTCTTCAAGCAGAGTGAATCAGAAGAAGGTGATGTTCAGTTAGCCGGCAGGGTTAACGGCTTACCTGGAAATGGATATTATGGAATCCGATGGTTCCATGGAGAGAAATGCAGAAAGTAGGTAGAGCCATGGAGGAAGGATGGCTTCAGCATCACCACCGCTATCTTCCTGAACCATTGTCAGCTTGCTTTCATCTGCTTCAAAGCTCAAAGCCTCGAGCTCAGTTTATTGGAGCAATCGAGAGTAGAGCCGGCAAAGGGCGTAGGGCCGTATGGGTGTCAAAAACCTCATAGACCGTTCCCGGTACTTTTCGGGTTCGGGGCGGGTTTTTACCGCCGTTTAGTTTAGGCGAGCCTACGCTTACTATTTTATACAGGACTAATATTATAAAAGTCCTAAATTTTTAACCTGTAATTAGAAAAAGCTTTAATATTTTTTTTATTATTGTTTTAGCCACAACTTTCTCGCACAATTATCACTCTAGCCCATTTAACGAGTTTCATGGTTAACTTGGTTAATTTTTTTGCAAAATCAGTCCCAAAATTCAAATTTGGTCCCTGAGGTTTGCAAAAAATTACACCACATAATGTTTTAACTTTATTTTTCGTTTTTTGTATACTTTATTTATTTTCGGTTTTTTTATAAATATATATACATTTTTTATTTTCGTTTTTGTATATACTTTATTTATTTTCATTTTTTAATTTTATTTTTCATCAATTTGATTTTTTTATTACCTTTTTACCTTTTTTTTCTATTTTATAGTGTATATATAGAGTATATTAGAGTTTTTTTTTAGTTTTTTTTTTATATTTCTTTTCGTATTATATTTTAATTTTTTCATCTTTATTTATTTATTTTTTATTTGTTTTCCAATTATTTGTTTTTATTTTTTGTATTTTTAACTTTTTATTGACCTTTTTCCAAAAATATAAAATGTATTAATATATTAGATTATATTACAATTTATATAATTTATAGTTTTTGTAATTTTTTTTATTTTTATTCAAGTAAATAAATTTGTTATGTTTATATTTGTAATTTCGGTCCAACTTATTTTCTTTTTACTTTTTTTCTTTAGTGCTATTATATTTATGTTACGAAAAAATGGAAATTAAAAAAAAATAGCTTGTTTATTGAGAATTAGTGTTTCAATGTGTTATATAACTTGGAAATTAAATCATATTTTTATATATGATATCAATAGTTTAAATTCAAGATAATATTTTTCAATTTGATAATAGACTAAAAGAAAATAATAATAATAATAATAATAATAATAATAATAATCGGTCTCTATAAAAAACTTGATATAGTAATTTATATTAAATTCGAGTTCGTTTACTTGAATCAAAATAAATAAAAACATTTGAAAAACCATAGATAACTAAGAAAGAAAAAAATAGAAAACAAAAGGTATAAAAGGTAAAAAAATCAAATTGTTGAAAAATAAAGTTAAAAAAATGAAAATAAATAAAGTATATAAAAAAAGAAAATAAAAAATGTATATATATTTATAAAAAAATGTATATATATTAAAAAATGAAAATAAATAAAGTTAAAAAACCATGTGGTGTAATTTTTGCAAACCTCAGGGACTAAATTTGAACTTTTTAGGACTGATTTTGCAAAAACTTTAACCAAGTTAACCATGAAACTCGTTAAGTGGGCTAGAGTAATACTCCTGCGAGAAAGTTGTGGCCATAGCAATAATAATAAAAAATATTAGGTCTTTTTCCAGTTACGCGTTAAAAATTTAGGACTTTTATAATATTATTCCTTTTATATATACTATTTTAGTATTTTAGTATTTGATAGGATGCGTTAAAGCCTTAGATTTTTATGTGTTTTTGTTGCCTTAATAATTTATTAAACCAATATAGTGTATCCCATTTTTTCCATTGTTATACACATAAGATAATTTTTTAAGTTAATGAACAAAAACTATTAAACAAAAATCATATTATATATACTATTGAGATATACATACTATTGAGGATAAAAACCAAAGTTTAATAATGACATTTTATAAAGTTCAAAGTTAAGGATGGTCAAATTAACATTTTAAAAAATAAAGGGGTAAAAAATACATTTTACAAAGTAGAATAGAGAAAATCATATTACATATATATTACGTCCAATGGAGATAAACACAAAAGTTTAAAAATGAATGGTGAAAATGATATTTTACAAAATTCAAGATAAAGGGGGTCAAAACGATATTTTAAATTTTTAGGGGATGAAAAAAAATTATTTTACAAAATAAAGGGGTTGCAAGTGATGGATTATGTAAAGTTGAAGGGTTGAAGTTCAACTTAATGCATTGTCACACATGTACGTTATGCATGATAATTTGTATGTTTAGCTACAATAGACAAAACATAAGAAATTGACCATTTAACTTGTTATATATGTGTTCACATATTTTCATTGTCGCCGGCTATAGTAGCAACTGACAATGGTAATATATGAACAAGTTAAATGTGTACAAAAAAAAGTTTCTTAAATGTGAACAAAACGAAAAGTTAATTACCTTGATAAGTCATTTTTTCCATTTTTAATAGTGATTTTATTTTTCATATTTGTTTGTATTATTTTTTTCAAACGTTATTTTTAAAATATCCATAATTTCCTAAATATTAATTAAATATTGATCAATTTTAACTTTACTTTTTAATTAATAAATATGTTTTTGTTTTGTGAAATATTTTATATAGACTCTTATATATTTTTTTTAAGCATATAGAATATTTTTAAAGTAAATAGTATCTAACAATAAAATTAAATAAATTAAATATGTAACAATAAGTATGGAGGGTCTTTTAAAAAAATAAAAAGAAAATATTACTTTGCAAATAAAAAAACAAAAAAAAATCTATATAATGTATATTTTAAAATTATTCCAACTTTTTAATACTTTTTAATTAAAAATTTATAAACTTTTAATTTTTTAATACAACGTTTTAAACTAATATTTAACGGAAGTATTTTAAAATGTTATGAAAAAATATTAAATTGTTTTACAAAAACTATGAAACACTTTAAAATTGTTGTAAAAGAAAATTTAGAATTAAATGTATGAAAGTTATAAAAAAAACAAGTTAAAAACTTGTAAGAAAAAATTAAAACATTTATCAAATATTTGGTTTAAAAGCATTTGTATTAAAATTATATGAAAGTATAAAAAAGTTAACAAAAATAATTATAAACAAAATTTAAAACATTGTATTAGAAAAACTTATAGGAAAAAAAATATAATAAAAATGTTGTAAGAAAATATAAAAAATCTTAAGAAATCTGTAAAAAAAATGATCACATTTAAACAACTTTCTTTTTTTGTACACATTTGACCATTTAACTTGTTAAATGTGTTCACATATTATCATTGTGTTCACATATAGCAGGTGACAATAGTAATATGTTAACACATTTAACAAGTTAAATGGTCAAATATGTACAAAAAGAATAAAGTTACCTAAACGAGAACAAGACGAAAAGATAATTACGCACGCAAGTTTGCCGCAAGGCATGTTTGGATACCTTTGGGGAACATGCGGTTCATTGTAGAGAGCTACCTGGTTTCAAGTACAGACAATGATGTGGTTAGGGATGTCCTCTTTGATGCTTGTCGGCATGCTGGTATTTCTGCGAAGAAAGAAGCGTCTGTGAACTTTTTGACGGACCTACAGGATGGAAGATCCACACTTAGACCGGCTGACATTTTGGTCTTTGGATGGGTAGGAGGGAAGCACGCGTGTATGGATCTTACTGGGGTCTCTCCTCTCGTCAGTTTGAGGTGTGGGGGTTTCACAGCAGGGCATGCCGCTTTGAAAGTCGTTGCGTGCAAAGTGGCAAAGCACGAGAATGCATGTATAGAAAATCAACATGTGTTTGTACCTTTTGCATTTGACACATTTGGTTTTCTCGCACCAGAGGCGGCGGAGCTCCTCAACAGAATCCAACGGGTCATGCACTCTAATGTCATATCTCCTAGATCCACAAATGTTGTTTTTAAAGGATTAGTTTTGCCATCCAGAACGGGCTAGCGGTGCAGCTTGTTGCCCGTTTGTCTTCCATCGATATGTATTGAACTATATTATTCTTACCATCATTTATTAAAAAAAAAAAGATTAAAAAAACATGAGACCATGTGCACCCATGTCATGATAAAATAAAAGTAAATGAAAACTTAGGGGATGAAAAGTGATTAATGTATAAGAAATTTTACATTTAATTTGTTGGAGTTTTTTTTTAATTACCTTAAAATTTTAGTCTTGTGGATGTCTTCAAGAACAAATAAAGGTGGTGTTTGGCGAGTGGTGGAAAAAACAAAATGAGCATGTGAGTGGAAAGAAAGTTTCAAATAACTTGTACATTGTGCATTAGAAATTGGACGTTTAACTACAGTAACTTTCACTCACAAAGTGAGACTCACGGCCCCAGAGAATTGAATTGATCGTTAAGCTAGTTTTAAGTGATCCTGGAATTGTTCCTAATAATATAAAGGGCACAAAGCTCATTGGAGCTAAAGTTGTGTTTTGTCATCCATCCTTCAAATTGTTCTATAATCTCTACTTAAATGGAATAGTTCTATCATGTTAAACCTTGTAACAGATAAGTATTTTTTCTAGTAAAAAAATAACGTAGTAAAGATGTTAAATTGACAACAATTTACCAAAAATCATGCAACTGTAACAGCATTAGGGGAGGGTAAAAGAGGAATCAAATGTCTCATTATTTTTCTTGCATTTAGAAGACACAATCGAGATTATCAACATTCAATTAGAACAACCATGTAAATTATAACAATTGTAATGCCATCTTTTGTTTAGTTCATATGTGAAAGTAATCAATTATTATCACCTTTATTCTATCAGCAATCAAGTTATTCGGCACATGTTTCCTAATAGCATCTGAAATCAGATTCACATGTGTATGTCTCAATGCTTCATAGTCAATTGAATCTTTTTGCATATTTTCTACTTCCTCATTTCCGTAATCATCTGACCAAAATATTGCAAAGAACACCCACAATCTCTCAACTTTAGCTTCTAAAGTATTAGCTTCTAAAGTATTAGCTTCTAAAGTATTATGTGCAGTCATGTAAAGTCCACAGTTCTGCCAAAAAAAATCCAAAACTTTATATAAAAATCTGAGTCATTGAAGCCTAGTAGGCTTCTCCTCTTTAGTCGATCAACTTGTATTACAATAATTTATAGTTGGTTCCTAAGTGTTATCCTTGCAGACATCTTCAAAAGCTGAATAGTTGAAGATGGTAAATGGTTCAAGCCTGAACA